TTTGATTTGAAGTCTATATGATTTGATCTAATTTCAGTAACTCTGTTCTTGGGTGGAGTTGGCTTTTCTGTACTTCCATTGGATTTCACGACCTTCATTGACTTCATTCGTGGATTGCACATCCCAACAGTGATTCTGGATGCGTTCAGATTCGTGATCGCATTCCCGATTGCCTTTCACACATTGAACGGAATCCGTTTCATTGGATTCGACATGGCGAAAGGAACAGATATTGTATCGGTCTATAAGGGCGCTTATCTTGTACTTGGACTGGCTGCACTTATAGCACTCGCAGTTGTAATTTACCCGCATTTGCAGCACCATGAGGAGGCCAAACAGTAATTATTTTAGTCGTAGTCTGTTGTTGTATCCAATTTATATTAACATTTCCAGTAGATTTTGTTGTATTGTCCGTCTATATTCTCTCAGTCTTTTTTTTAATATCCAACCTCATCTTCAATAACTCCTTCATTTGTGGTCAAATTCTGGTGATTTACTTTATTCCTAATTAATTGCGACACAATTTCGTTGTTTACGATACTGTACTATCTGTCCATTTATTCAGTTTCGATACCGGTCGAATAATTTACGTGTTCTTTCCTTTTATCAATATTAATAGTGTTCGAAATTGGTTGGTTTTATCGAATAAGATAAATTTTGTTGTATACGCCAAGATTATGTTTCAACAACAGCCAAAAATACGATAACAATGTAAATGTGATGCAGTATAATAGTTGATTAAATAAAATATTATTAATAATATTTCCTTTCATTTGATAAACTCCCAAAATGCGTTGACTTTTTTTGCACTCAAAAAGTTTCGCTCTCATATCAACCTCATCGCTAACTTGAATTTCAATGATTTTGTTGGGATGATGCGAAGACCTCATAAACTGTTTGTTGAATTCTTGTAGTGCTGTCAAGTTTCTTACCGAGTAATTGTGNTGATTAGACAGTCCATATCAAGGCGACTTTGTTGTTCCCTGATAGAATGTGTAAAATATTCACTGGACAGAGGTTCATTTACGGATGCATTCTTGAAATAATAAGTGAATATGGCTTTAAAGACTGTATGAAGAATGGTGAAAACTATGAGGAGCAAGAGTTGTTGTGTCATCCGTGATTTATTAGTTAATTTGCTTGTGACGTTTCAACTATCAGGCGCTTCGAATAAATCGTTTAAAGATGATTTGTTAACGATAAGAGCGTTTGATTGAAGAAGGTGGAAATTTAGATTCAAGCGATCAGTTGACGTATTAAACGTTGTTTTAATGGTAATGACACAGTCAACATCAGATGTTTCAAGTACGGCAGTATCTGAATCAAATGGTGAACTAGTTGATGTGGAGCCCACTTATGATTTTGAACGGGACGAATACGCCATACAGGTGAGTATGTAGAGAGTAAACGACAGAATTGTGTTTGACTTAGAGTCAACATTTGGCTCGATAAATTCATGTTAAGTTAGCGCATGTCTCCGTCCAGATTTTGTCACCTTCTACTGGGCTCCAGTATGCCTTTGTTATACTTGCTGGATTTCTTACGATGAGACAGAACATTCGGTTGGTCTCCTTTTGGAAGCGGCCATGGTGGATATCACTCAGAAACATTATCGGTCATCATGTTACAAGTTCAGAACGTTCCCTACCTGTCTATAATGTGACGGAAAACCATATTTATCTGAAAAATGGCAGTTGCAAAGAATTACGTGTAACAATGGTATTGAATGCAGGGTTTTGTTGTGGATTATTTCACGAATCGTATGCATTTGAATGGGTTGGAGTGGCACGAACGACCAGCATTACCGTACGAGGATCTGCCTGAATACGAATCGATGCGTGATATGGGAATGAGATTCGAGAGGAGGAATAAAGAGGAACTGATGAAGATGATTGATCAATTACTCGTTGATAAATATCTAACTTTCAATCGCTATGTTAAGGTCGCCGATTATACTCATTCGAATCGTTTGCAAACATTGTTTATAAGTTGTATAAGTATGAGCTGTAACTTTTTTAAACTCATCTGCCGCTTAAAAAAATTGTCTGTAGAGCACAGTTCATTCTACTTGAATGACCATTGAATGAAATTGCTCTATTGTTTTTGTGTTGATTGCCGTGGGCCGTTGCTTGATGAATTTGAGAACTCTTTAATACATTCATAGTTTGCTTGAAGGTTGTGGAAAATTTCGGCCGGAATGCCGACGAATCTCCAGCGCACATGTCGTACGGTCGTATGGTGGCGTTGATAGCATTCGGTGGGTTGATGGCGTGTTGTTTGGCTGAAAAGGAATTACGCTCTGAAATCAGCGCAATTGCCATTTACACATCGAAATTCTTGGAAAAACGCATCAAGATGAGTTGGGCAGAGGACAATCGTTCGTGGGTAAGTGATCACCGTTGCTCATTACTATCATTCGAGTGCGAACGACGAAATCGTCGTAATCAGTGTTGTTTCGTTTCACAGTAATAAACTTGCACGAACATGATTTGCATACTCCGAGCAGATTTTTGCAAGCATATTCTTTGTGTTTTTGTGTATTACCTGGATTGGCCAGGCTATCAAACATTTGTAACGTTGCTGGCCACAATGCTCGCGTTTCCGTTCGCACCGTTNCGAACGCAACTAAGTAATCAATCAGTTGACGTGAATACTTTGCACAATTAAACGTAGCTGAATATCAATTCAATAAGTAATCATAACTCTAATAAAATGAATATTCCGCCGATCGCTCACGGCGATCAACAAAACAACCACTCGATGTCCAAGTAATAGGTGCTTTTGTACATGTGCTATGTATATTCATTTCAAGTTGTTTACAAGCTTACAAGCTTATTGTTAGTAACTGGATCGATCAGCTGGCACATTAGACTGAAACGAAAGAAAAAGCATTTAGTTTGAGAAAATTTTAATGATAGTAACAATGATCAGAGAAAGAATTACATTACGGACAGGAATGGTTATAAAAAGGATAAAAATAACAGTACTAATAATTAAAATAGTAATAATAATAACGACGATTTCAGTCAGATTTTATGGAACGTGCTGAGAAGTGGAAATTGAACGACTTATTGAGGCAGCAAGAAGTAAGTGAAGGACGATCACGATTATATAGGTGGTCGTTGATCGGATTGGCGACCGCTGGCGTGGTGGGAATCGGTGCATTCGCAATAACTCGTGCTGTTTTGTCGAGATAGTGATCGAGACATTTGAGATGTGTATTTGATGGTTCAGTTGGAATCGTATTCAACACAACCATATTCATTGATCAGCAACTCCCTGAATGTTATCGTCCCATTGGGACTGCTTTTTCGAAGATGTTTAATACGTGACGCGAGCACCATTTGCAAGCCACCTTTCAACAAGAACAATGAGAATGAATATTTATCAGTCCCAAACCACGAAAAAAATTTCATTCTAAGAATGTGAACGGGTTCGACAACGAAGTTGCATTCCTATTCTGTTCTCGTTATATCGGAATATTGAATATTCCATACTAAATGCGATCTCTTGAAGTCAATTTGTTTTTATACAGTATCTCATTGTTGGGTATGCAGTGGTGTGTATGATTTCGCTAAAGTTGATCTGTCGATATTGTTTTGCAATATTCAGATGGAACACTTTGTGTATGATATCTCTCTGATAATTCGTCGTTTATCGCTCTTTGNCCAATTAGGAGAATGCATATGTATGTATGCATTTCTGCTATTGTACATTATTAATCGGCAAATTTTTTGTATTATTAATGAATTTTGTTTTGGGTGTTCATTGTAAAATATTAACGCGATTGATAAAATTATTCTTGGTTTTCGTTATTCTGATGTTTTATTCAAAACCTTTACATTTCCTTTTATCACCTCAATTTTATCACTTTTTTGAATCTCTTCTCGTTAAAATTATCGTCTTCATTGTCGTTATTGTTAATATTTTTGTCGCTATCATTATTATCACTGTTTTCTCATTATCCTTATTATTACCATTATCATATCGTTATTCTCATTATTATTGCTATTGTTACCATTATCAATGTCATTAGCATTTAAATGAAAGATGACTGATGCTTACGCGCACTTTTCTGTATCATTCCGTTGCACTTCTGCCTATGTTTCCTGAACTTCTGCATTCATTCATTTATTCTTGAAACAGTGTTGTGTCATCATATCCCTTTCCAAAAATGTTTGTCTTCATACTCTCCTAAATTTTGACGCTTCCACTGAGCTTCTGAAAAAANAAAAAACGTCGGATATTTGTTATTTTCACACTCATTTCATTTGTTCGATAAAATGATTCAGTGACTAATCGTTGTATCGATTGGTGGTGATTCGTTTTGGTTTGTCTCGTAAGGAAAGATTTGAGGAGAAGCATTTTTGCTACTAAACAGTAAAAGCATTCATCAAAGTGTTCGCAATGTGTCACATCCAAAATAAACATTGACGATAAATGTTCATCATTGACTATAAAGTTGTCATCAATAAAAGGTGATAAAAACAGCATAAAGTAGCAATTAGAGAAGAAATCATTTGATGTGAGTGATCATCTCAGCGCTTCTCTGTTGAAAGCAATGCCAATAAAAGATGAGGGTAAAGCATAAATTCGGACTATTACACTGGAAAGGCTTGCTTGCTTGCATCAATCATCGATGAGAGAGGAGCTGTTGAGTGATGATGCTATGAGTTGGTGCTATGACCTTTGCCCTTCTACCCAATAAATGCGAAAGAATGTCTCAAAATTGTGCCGACAACAGATGAGAAAGTTTTATCGTCTTAATCATAAAAGATCTGTAACTGACGCACAACGTTCACACTTCACACTTTTCTTTATATTTCCCGAATTTCTGTCACTCATTCTACCACTTTCAATCGACAATTGCTTTTTGTAAATCATTTTCGATAATTTGATCATTTAGTTTCGGTTTTGATAGTAATTATTGGGAGGTTTTGAATTCAGGAAATTTATTAATTGCTGATATTTGTGAGTCTTTAATGGGAATGGATAATTTCATTGTTTACTTTTCCATCGAATAGATTGGGAGAATGTGAATGAAAGTGTTTTCAATGAAAATGACTTTCGAGTTCAAGAAGGTTCAAGGAAAAACATAAATTTCAGAGATTTGTTGAATTTTTTTACGATTCTGTTTTTTGAAATTGCGTTCGATTTAGGATAATTGGAGCAATAAGATGTCTTAATGTGGTCAATCTTTTGCAATTCTTTTNATATTCAAAGTTATTCTCCTAATTCAACCTCTTTAAGAGATGAATTCCACGTAAAATTATCGATGAATGTGGATTTTGGTAATACATACTTAAGAACAGATCACCCTAGTTCCTAGAGTTTGTCAACCTTCGTTATGATTTGAAATTTATTGCTGCTGGATCAAATCATTATTGCCGGAACGCAACCAATCGAACTTCAAAAGAAAAAAATCATTCCGATTCATCTTTAGTATGCCATAAACCTTGTTCGGATGTATTTTAGCACCAATTGCTCGAATTAGGCTCGAGTTTAGGCTCTAACTTACCTATAGGCTCATGTCGAGGCTGTGGCCTACAAGAGACTAAAATATACCTGTATGCGTTGCTGCTGCCTTAAGAGGCTCACAGGACGCCCTCAGTCTGAACACTGTTATTGAATACTAAATGCTCAAAAGTAATAATACTTTGAAGATGCAACAACAGTAAGAATGAGTGCCTCTCGCATTGTTGGTATAATCATTCACATCACTACTTACAATCAATCATATTAATTGATAAAGAATTTTGATTTCCAAAGTAATGTTTAGCCGTTGGCAACTGTTACTTTACTATTCATCATTAATGAGTCATTACGTTGCATCTGATTGTTCACATTATCAACACTTTATTAAATATCTTCAAACTTCGCATATGAATTATGTGCCGAATTCTTGCAATTCCAGTCAATGTCTTTTGTGACTAAGGTTGTATGAATGTTTTAACGTTTCTCGCGTAATTTTCAACAACACAAGCTAATTCATCATTAAAGCCAATTGGCTCCCCTCAAACCTCGCGTCTGTCAAAGTCACTTCGACAAGCAATATCCGATATTTTTCAAGTGATTCATCAAAATTATTCCATTCAAACGTAGTCTGTTGGCTATCAAACGCACAGGCTAATAAATGAAACTCGTGTTTTCAAATGGAAGAGTCGATAGATTTCAACAGAAATTCAGCAATTTATTTCACTTACATCAAAAAAAAATAAACTGTTTTCTACGGTCAGTCTCAGTTTTCTGTTATTTGAGTGTGTTGATTGCAATTTGTTGAGTAAAGTGTGTGCCAGGCTCGTTTATTATTGAATAAAAGTATTTTTTGACTAAAACACACATCTTGCTGCTTTCATTCAGTAACATCTTATACTGCAATTATCTGCTCTCAATAGCAGTACGAGTATTGACGCTCATGAAACATTCAAAAACACTCTTCTAAACGATGATCTCTTTGCATATGGAACGATCTCTTCACCAGACGCATCTCAGTGATTGAAGGTAAGTGCTGAGGATAAGAACTGAATTGGGTAATCTGTTGAACTGTGTACGCTTTCAGCCAATCGTTCCGATTAATTTCTCAGCAAATTCGTCAATGAACAGTGTATCTGGTGTTTGAGTGGTCAATTGACATTGCCATTTATTAAACGAAGAATTTATGCTCAAACACGAATGAATGACCGTTAACTTAAAGAA